CTCCCAGAATTCCCCAGCCAGCATGGCTGGCTGGGGAATTCTGGGAATTGAAGTCCACACGGCTTAAAGCGGCCAAGGTTGAGGAACACTGTTCTATAGAACGTGGGTCACTGCAGAGAAGGCCAGTTCGCTAATCTATGTATTAGGTAACCCTACAAGGGATCCCTTGCCAATCCCACAAGGATTTTCTTCAAGCCGGCCTTCCTGTTCAGGGTTACAGGGGATAGATGATAAATGTATTTGATTTACAAGCTCCGTTGGAACTGTCGTTTTCTCCCACCAGCCGCAGAAACATCTTAGACTCCTCCCCGCAGTGGTGGGACTCCGTGTCCTCCTCATTCCCATGTTCCTCCTGTGCAACATCCCGGGACAGACTTACTTGCCTGTGCTTTTCCTTCACGATGCCTGGTTTGTCTTCCTGATGGTGCTCTTTTCTTTCTCCAATGGCTACTTCGTCTCTGCCACCATGTGCCTGGCCCCCAAGTGAGTATGAATTTGCCCTATTCTCCTGCAAGACAGGATGATGGGTTCAGGGTTCTGAGAACCACCAATGTGATACAAAGGCTGCTGTGTACGGTCCATAATTGCCCATCCCTTCTCTGTAGTGGCTGCCTCTGGAATGAGGTCCCCCTGAGATCCATATGGATCCCACCCTGATGAAGTTCCAGAAAGCCTTAAAGACCTGGCTGTTTTAACCGGGCCTTGGGGTGGCGTGGATGGGACTCCCCTAGTTGTGATGTTTTATGTTTGCTTTGTTGTAGGATTACCATCTTGTGATTACAGGTAGTCCTCGATTTACGACGGCAGCTGGGACCAGAATTTTCATCACTAAGTGATGCGGTTGTAAAGTGCAACCGCATCACTTAGCAATGGCGATCTCTACAGTCCTGGTTGCCATTGTTAACTGAATCTCACAGTCATTAGGTGCTTCCTGTGTGCTTCCCACAACCAAATCAGTGGGGAAGCCGGCAGGAAGTTGCAAGTCCCAGGCGGTTTGCAAGCAGGCAGCAGGCAGGTCGGTGGCTGCTGCCAGATGGGGAGGGTACGAGGGGGGTTGTGAGGGTGTGAGGGAGGTGCAGCAAGGGTTAGGGAGGGTGTGTGAGTGACCTGTGTGAGCACAGAGGGGCTGGGGGAGGGCGTGCGGGTGGGGGAGACTTACCCCAGCGACTTGCAGTCTTCCCTGCCAGCTTCCCCATTGACTTTCTGGGGAAACCGGCAGGGAAGGTCGCAAACGGCGATCATGTGACCGCAGGATACTGCAACCGGTCGTAAGTGCAAGCCGGTTGCCAAGTGTCCAGATTGCAATCAGGTGACTGTGGGGGTGCTGGGACGGCCGGATCTCCGAGGATTGGCCATAAACACCATTTGTTCGGCGCCATTATAACAAACTACCTGCCTTTTTCAGCTATTGTTTGTCCTTGTTCTGATTCTTTTTTGTTATCCTGCCTTTATTATTTTTATAAATAACTCAAGGCGGCGGTTTTTTGGATCATTTTTTGGATTCTGCAGTTTTGTGTTATCGCTGTGAGCTGCCCAGAACCAGCTGGAGTTGGGTGGTATCCTGAATGAATGAATGAATGAATGAATGAATGAATGAATGAATGAATGAAGCGAAGAATCACCTCCGTGGTCTTCAAATGTGGGTGTTAATTCTCTCCTGCAGGCAAGTCCAGCCCCATGAGAGCGAGTTAGCTGGGGCCATCATGACGTTCTTCCTGGCGCTGGGACTCTCTTGTGGGGCAGCCCTCTCCTTCCTCCTCAAGGTCCTCCTTTGAGGGCCTCCACGCTGCAACTACTGCGCTCTGCAACGATTTTGCCTCTGTGTCTCCCGAAGGCTTAAGGGGTGGCTGGTGGCCGTGCCCCCTCGCACGATTTTCATTCAAGCGCCCTCCGTGCGACAGCTAAGAAACCTTCGCAATGAGGGAGGACAGGACTTATTTGGCCATATCCCTTCCCCCAAAGTTTCCCCCCGCTTTTTTTGTACGCCACGGATGCACACCTTCAACTTCGCCCCATCTTTTTCTGTAGACGTCCGAATGTATTTGGGAGGAAAGATTCTGGATTTTGCAAGCAGGGAAGTGACAGTCCTGCAAACGGTTATGCAAACTTTTAAGGGCGTCAAGGAATGGCCTTTTCCTGCCAGCAGACGGGAGCTTCCCTCGTGATGGAAAGCTGCGATTTTTCTCTGCTCTGTTTTCGACTTCAGGACCTATTATCTTGCGATGCACAACGCCTCAGCTTGGTTGAATGCACTGCTGGAGGGGATACAGAAGGGGAAAAAACCCCTTTTAGTCTTTAGTCCTTTAGTCTCAAGGCAATCCAGTCTCTGGTTCCTCCCTCACTTTGGCCCTTCGGTCTCTCTTGGGTGGATTGCCAAACCTACAGGGCTAGTAACTTGGATGACAAAAAGGGAGGAAATTAGGAAAACAGCTCTCAATTTTTCTGGTGCACAATGAAGGGACGGGAATGAATTGCAATAACCCCTTAATTTGTCTCAAATTGGTGGAGATCTGGAACAGAGATAATTCTGCGTGCGCACACCCATAAGGTCTTGGAGACTGCACCGAAACAGATTTCGAAAAACCGAGTTAGGAAATTGCCTGGGTGAGCAGAAAATGAAGCAAGAGGCACGAAATAAGCCAGAAGGGTAACCAGACATAAATTGCAGGGCTAGGTTTTCATATCCTGTAATCACATTCCTGTGCAACTGTGGGTGGCTTCTAATCTGTGTTTGGGGGAAAGCTCTACTCATTCTGCCATTGAATCAGAACGGGGGGGAAATATTCTGAGTGCAGAAGTACTAGCAAGGCTGCACGTAAATATGAAACTGGAGTTACTCTGAATTAGAAAAGGAACTACAGAGTAACTGTGGTTACTCAGTCTCTACCTCTCGTTCATTCTGCCTGGTCGCTGTTAGGGAGATCTACCTTGTCTAAGGTGCTGGGTGGACTTCAACTCCCAGAGTTCCATGGCTGGCTGGGGAATTCTGGGAGTTGAAGTCCACCCAATTCTTAAAGTTGCTGAGGTTGAGGAACCCTGTTCTAGATGTACAGGGATTGCAACTCCCAGAATCCCCTTGTCCTTAGGCAGACTGGCTAAGAATTCTGGGAACTGCAGCCCCAACATGGCTGGAAAACATCCTTTAGAACAGGCAGGGCCAAATTCCTCTGTAGAGATGCTGGTTAGGTCAGGCCCTGGGATCTCGGAGGCCTCCCGGTTGAGAACTGTAGCATCTTTATCATTGTTGTAGTGATATTAAGCCTCTCCTCATTACTGTTGTGGCCTAACCATGGTTGGATGGCTGTGAAAGATGGCCAAAATTATAAGTAGGAAGTGACCTTTGTCGTTTCCCCAGTTTTGAACCAGATTGGGTAAGTGAGCCAGTTTAAATCAGGACAAAAACTTAAGGGGTGTGTGTGTGTGTGTGTTTAAAAGGGACATCTTCGTTGCATGTACAGTATTGATTTTTTAAAGCATTATTATTTTGCTCTTACCTTGGGGAGTGGATATGGGGAATGTATTATGTGCTCTCTAATAAAGTTTTTTTTTTTAAGGTTCCAATTTTTATTGCATTAACACCTCCAGGGAAAAAAATGTTATTTTTATTTGTTTTTTATTTATATATCGAATTTATCACTCCCCATCTCGTTAAAGAATGACTCTGGACGGTTCAAAACGTTATTCTAGGAGAAGCAATTCCAACTGCTATCTGCTCGTAATTTGGAGAGATTAAATAGATGTTCCCAGACAAGAATGATTTGTCAAGATTGGTCTGGGGACGGATATATTTTGCAAAACGTCCACAGAAACCAGCTAGTGTACAGCCTAGAAACTACTGTAAGAGTGTTGTGTACGGTTCAAGGAGGATGTTGTGCAAACTGGGAAAATTGGGTTGCGTAATCCATGGTTAAGCATGGATTTCTGAATACAATCGCCGTCTTCCTCAACTTTGTACCTCACTTGTGTTGGACCCAAAACGGGGTTCTTGCCTGGAGACGACTGCCAATAACTTCGCAGAAACCTGTAGACGTTTCCTTTATTGCTGCGCAGCAGTAAAGGGGCTACCTCTGTCAAAAGAGGCACCCTGAACACAAAAGAAATTGGGTTTTTATACATTAAGCTCAAGAAAACAGAGTCAAAAGGAAGGATAATGATTGGTTAGAATCTTCTTTATGACTTTGCGTGTCATACCGGTGCAAACTTAGGTTATTAATGATGAATGACTGTCGGGCAACATCTCATAATCACAAAGAGACAATATGCCTACAAGGGACAGTATGGTATCAGAAAGAGATAATATCCAGGGAAGGGTCATTAAATTAGTTTGCATTTCTCTCTCTCTACCATAAGGGAGGAGAAATTACAAGCTACATCCCTGCCCTAAAGACAGATGGGTTGCTAAGATTAAAAGACCCATTATAGGTTGAGACATAGATTTTCACTTTCCCACAGGTAGCGCACGTACAGTATTTCTCCATTTCGTGCCCCTCACTCGGAGAGCTTTTTTTCAGTGAAAGAGGTTTTAAAATGCATTAAATGGTTTCCCCTTTCCAATGGCGTGGCCTGGGATTCTTCAGAGAAGCAAAGTGGTCAATCAACGAGGTATTGATTAAAACATTTGAACTTTAAAAAAAGAGAAAAACACCCTGGTATCTTTCTTCCGCCGAATATACAGTATTTTGATTTGTGCTGGCTGGAAATAAATGCAATGCTCCTGTTCAGAGCTAAAAGATGCTACCAGCATGGAACAGTGTTGCTAGGTGGGTGTTTTAGCGACCCTAAGATTGTAATTCTCTAATATTCAACATGCTTAATCTGGCTACCGAATTAGCCCATATTCGGAGCTGATGCAATCTAGTGAACTGTAAATTACCCAAATTGGTTGGGTTTGCAAAACCTGCTTCAGCCACTCAAAAAAACAACACACGTCACTGAACTAAACGCTTCTCCAGCAAGCACGTTTTCTGCAGGGGCCCGGGGGTGTTTTGCAGCAAGGGAGACCCCCCACCCCAGCTCAGCTTTTCGCGTCTGGCGCTTGCTCGTTGCAATGGACTCGCTTGCTATGGGCTAGCCAGGGGGCGATGGGGTTTGCGATCCCAGCACGCCTGCCAGAGGGGTCATTCAATTCAGAGCCCCTCTGAAACGCAGGGAAAGGAGGCCCCTTCGCAGCCGCCGTCAGACTTGGGGCGGGCAGCAAGAAATGCACCCCGTTTGCAAAGGGCCCTGGAGCCTCTTCTCCGATCCCTCCAAGCGGAAGCATTCCGCCTCTGGAAGAAGAAGAAGAAGATGCTTGCAAAGCATTAAAGCTCCTTTTCCTGAAAATGCAACGGAGGGTATAATAAAGTCGCTTCGGGTTGACGGTTCAAAACGCTGCCGACGAGGGTGGGATTCGAACCCACGCGTGCAGAGCACAATGGATTAGCAGTCCATCGCCTTAACCACTCGGCCACCTCGTCTCACGGAGCAGAGCCTCTCTTCCACCTGGTCTATACTTAACTTTCCCCCGGGCAGTTATTCCAAACCCCAACTTACGATGCGGGGATTTGGGGGCTTGGTCAATGCTCGCCCCCCGCAAACATCGCCGACCTCCCCAGTGCAAACGCTCTTTGGCCTCCCCCGCCCCCCTA